CTTTCATAAAGCTGTGTTCACAACTGTCATATTTCAGAAAATACTGTTCTTCAAAACTACCCATTATTAGCTTTCAATTTAAAATACAGAATAAAAAGATCAACTCTACAAATCCTCTTACCTTTCATTTGCTATACTCATTCAAAAGTGAAATAGATCAAAATAAATACTTAGATATAGCAGGTTTTTATTAGGCTTCTTCCTGTCTTTTCTACCACTTATTTTTAACTAAAAGGTAATCAGGCCTAAAATGAATGTTAAGTGTACAGGGAAATCTCTGGATACTGCCTGTGGGCAACAGGTCAAGTCATCAGCCAAATATTTGAAAATTCAGGAGCAAGTCTCCGTGGAAATGAAGGACAGACAGCAAAGAACATGAGGCCGTGACGTGGATCTCCGTGAGAGCGGCGCAGTGCGAGCGCCGGGGGCGCCGCGCGTGCCGGGCCGGGGAGCAGGAGCTCGGCCGCGCGAGGCTCTGCGCTCTCAGCTAAGAAATGCTGCCAGCATCCGGGGGCCTCTTACAACCGTTTCTATGCTATGCATATATTCCTATACTATCCTGTAGTTTCTATGCTACAGTTTCTGTACAAGTATTTTTACTTGAACAAGAAGGGCACACAAAGCTTACTCGTAATACTGCAGTCTCTATGGTGCTCTGAGCAAGGGTTCTCCGCTTTGTTTTTTTCCAGGTTGAATGGAATAAAGAATTCTTGTGTGAGGCTTCCCAGTAGGAAAGGAGGCAGCGTAGCACAGACGTGGTAGTACATGGCATGCTAACAGGACAGTAACTCTGAACAACAAGCGCCTTGCATTGAAGCAAATACATAGCGGAGGGAGCTGACACCTTATGGCTGCAGAGCCACATCACAGGAAAGAGCAGTTGTACTTTCTCCTGTTTTACTTGGTAAGATAGTATCTTACACCTAGATGATGGTTTGGGAAAGCTATGCTGAGAGTTAAGGATCTCATTCTCAAGCAGCCTATTTCTTCCTCCACATAAAAGACATAGCATGACACAAGTTTGAGTTTATACAAATCTTGTTCTCACTAACATGGTTATTTAAGTATAACAACCTTTTTAGAAGATAGCATAAGACAGCAAACTCTGTTTATGTCAAGAAAAAGAAATGCAGTGAAATGCATTCTTTTATAAGAAAATCATACAGTCTTGCATAGGCTGAAAATGCAAGCTACTACAAGGCCAAGTCAAGACACAACTGATATATGTTGATTCAGTTACTTCGCTTCAGAATTAGCAGTCAGTTCTGCTTCATAAATCAGTTCCTCATCCTTACTGTTGGTGAACTCCAAATTGCATTAAAGTTGCCCTTTTTGGATTTTTTTTTCTGGTATAAATGTATCTGAATAGAATGCACTGGTTCCAGACAGGTTGTCATTAGTTTTATGCATGTAAGCTATCAATCTGTCTAGGTGGTGTTCTTCCTTATACCATTAAAAGTATGATGACCTTAATAAGAGAAAGGAAGTAAAGATGAACATGCAGAATTAATGGAGCATTAAACAGGAGAAAAAATCTTGGGGATATGTAAATTCAACATGTTTTGTTTTTTTTTTCTTTTTTTTTACCCAGGATTTTGTTTTTCCTGTGCAATTTTGCTGAATTGCCAAGAGCTGGCCTCCCATTCTTTACCACGGTTTTACGGTTTTGGGTTTTTTATTTCTCCCAGAGAAAAGGACCAACTACTTTTTTTAGCACAAACACCTGCCAAAGGTTGCACTCTCACATTTACACATTCCGAGTGTACCTGGGTAACTTTGAAGTGGAGAGTAGCTAAGCTTTGCTATTTGTCTTTCCTATGCAGTGACAATAATTCCATTTGGATAGTGTCCTTTGTATCTGCTCTATATCTGGGCATGAGTAAGAAAATAACTTTGATTTTATTTCATGTTTTGGGAGACTATCATTAGACACTCCCAGAACCGAGACTGTAAGCAAAGGTTACAGGCCAGCTGAGTATTCTCTTCAGACAGTGAAAGCGAGCACCTGATGAACTTCTTAATCTGACTGTTTTTTACAAAAATAAAATTTGTTATCAACATCTTGGTCTAAGACCATCCAAAAGTTCATCTAAGACCCTCTAAATGCATCAAGTAGAGAGAAATCTGAACTTCAGTGCTTTCCCTAGCTACACTACATTAAAGTTGAAAAGACAGAAAAGACACCTTTATTAGTATTTTATTCTGACAGTGCTATAACTCAGTAATGCATTTTTCATTGCATTTTGACATGCAAGGCTTTTAGAATTTGATACGCAATTATGGCAGTGAGCTATGGTTCAATTTGAAAGTGTTGGCATAACTAACATGTAACTAACAAATCTAAACATATTTTATACAGCAAATTGCTACAGGTGACAAGCTAACATTTCATTTCCATTTCTCCCTTTCAGTTTAAAATTTCGGAGGACCCAGGGATGTGAGGGCCCGGGCTGGACAGAGACGTGTGGAGCTGCCCAGGTGGCAGAGAGCACCACATGTTGTCATTGGCAAGGTGAGCTCTGCAAGGACCTGTGGAGAAGCTGCCTGATTCTCGACCAATTTTTGCAGCTTTCTGTGGATCTGTTCAGTTGTGACTAGCGTAGACTGAGACCAGATCCATAATGGATGAATCCTGCCCGTGATCAGTCCTGGTCTTGGGATGACAAGAAAGCTCTTGTGCCAGGTGGCTCCGAATGAGAATGACAGGCTCATGTCAGCAGGTGAATTAAACGGGGAGAGGGAGAGGGCCCCACGGCATGAACCAAACACGGCTTTCACAGGACAGCACACTGCGGCTTTTTGTGTAATCCTTGCCATGGACAGAAATGTCCTGTAGCCTTCGCAGCAGATGGAGCGCTTTGTAGCCTTTCAGTACCTGTCTAGACCTATAGAATTGCAAGTTTTTAATTAAATTTTTAAACTTGTAAACTTAAAACCAAACAGAACTAGCAGTTTTTTCTAAACTTCTTTTCATCATTACATCAAGTTTAAGAGAACTGCAGTTCAGTTACTTCCCTTTTGTCTATTTATACCTACTTTTTTCCAAATTATTACTTAGCAAATACAAGAAAGGAAAGTTTGGAATAGCAAAGATGTGTGCTAATACTTTACACTGAATCAAACATCAAAAGCCTCAGGTTAAAATGTTAAATTCTTTCATATGATGGAAGACATTAGTTTCCTTGTATTCTATGCTAGAGCCCATTTTAGAAACTTATCCTTAAGATACTTTATGCTATAAATACTATGCTGATGGTATATGCAATGTGATATTTAAGTTTAAAAAAAAAAAAAATCCTCGATCTCCAAGTATTCTCTCATTTTCTGTTTCCAGGCCCAGGCTGCAAATGTAGGATTTACATTTTTTTTTTCAATTTGCCATTTGCAGTAGCTCTAGTTTGGCTTTATCACTCCGATAACTTTTTTCCAATTACTTCTCAGTGACTTGTGGAGCTATCAGCTCTTTAAACTAGTCTCAGTATTTTTAAAGCTGTCTTTCAGCTATTTTGTACTAAGCTGAGGAACTTGGCTCAGGATTGATAGGCAGAATATGTTTTGCATCTGATTGGGGCATCATGGGAAAGATTAATTTATAGAATTAGAGATGTCAAAGGCGTGTCAAAGAGAATACTTTTCCTAATATCGCTGCAGTCCTACAATTATGCATAAAAAATATAATGTTTTATAGCCTCTATTTACTTCTTAAAATGATAGAAATTCAAGATGGGTGATACAGTTAACTACATCTTAGAATAGCAGTCGAAATACGTTTCTTCAAGAGATGTATTCTATATCACAGCAAGTCTTACTCATTGTGGTCATTTTTGTACTTTTATTGAAGTCCCTCTTTCATGTAATTTATCTCATATACAAAGTAAATCCAAATTCTTCCCAAATTTCCTAATCTTTTGTTTTGAAGCTTTAACAGAAGCTATTAATCATGCAGTTTATAACACTAAATAATCAGTCTCATTAGAGTTAGATCTACATCTACCCACAAAGTTAAAAATAACCTTTATTCTACAAAGACAAAAAAGTATGGTTCTCTAAAAGGTCGGGAAAAGGATTCCATTTATCAAAAATCAGTTTATTTCTGTATGCATCAAAATTAATACTGTCAGTATGCCATGCCCTTAAATGCTCTTAAATCACCGTGCCATGCTCTTGAAGTATTTTTGAGCTGCCTAAGTTCACCTTAAAACATGTCACAAATCTTTCTAAGCACCACTATGAAATAAAGTTTTGTACTATTCTGCATCACATAGTTAATACAAAATCAGTGACAGCAAAATCTATTGTATAAGATTCACTGGAAAGAGGGGAAGAATACCTGGCAGGATTTAATATATGCAGTCTATTCCCAAGGCCTTTGCAGTCACTGAACCCTATACAATGTTTGGCCTGACTTCATAAATTCATATTACTTTGGCTGAAAAAACTATGAGGAATGGCTGGACAGTCCATTGAGCTTGATGTAAAACATCAGGTCTGTCCATAGAAAAGTCTCTCTCCACCATTCAAAGCAATGCACAAAGCTTCATTAACCACTTCTGTAAAGGTGTTTCAGCTTCTCTTTTAGGCATCACAGCAAAACCCAATGAAGATGAACTCTTTTTGGCAGCTTTGCTGACTCCTGAAGAATCCTAAAAGCAACATTTTTTTTTCCTGGCAACAGTCAAGAGAAGGTGGAAAGCAGGGTAAAAAAACAAAACAAATCACAGACCAGAATTAAGGAATGGTGCCCTTCAACAGGCAGTGCTGCCTGCCCCTGCAGTCACAGCTGGGGTACCTGAACACCCCTCACGTCTGGGCAGTGGCCAAGCAAGGCCCTTCCTTCCTCCCCACTGAAACTGAAGGTCTGCAGCCCCGGGCAGGGAAGCCTTCAGCAGCAGAGTAAGAAGTGTGCAGCAAAGAAGGGAAAACTGAGAGCAGCTATTACACCTCTCACTCATGCTAATAAAAATTTGGGGTTTAAAGTAAAACATTATTTTTATACCCACAACAAAACATGGACCTGCAGAAGTCTTCAAGCAATCTTCTAACAGCCTCATACGAGTCTTCTGCAGCTCAGGACTGTCCCATTCGTCTGCTTCAACTCCCCAGTATAAGTCTATAACCTGAAAATAAATATGCAACATTGTTAATTTATCCTACACATTCTCTTTCTATCAAATTACAAATTAACTTCCATCACCGCAGTGTGTATTGCTCAGCGTTGGTGTGCCATCCAGTCAGGATGTAAAATCCTGTAAAAGGCTGCAAATCCTCTTCCTGCTCCTTAGGCAGCGTAGCAGGGCCATCTTAACTGAACGGCACGTCAAGACTATTTATTTTCCATCTTAGATTTTTTTTTTCTGTTTGAATATAGATACTTTCAGGTAGGGACAGTCTCTCTTTTTGTATTCATATTTTTGTACAGAGATTAACATTACAAGATCTTGATCTGAGGTTGCCTTTATGTGCGACTAAATTGCAAATAACAGGTAGCAATAATGGCAAGCGCAGGGACAAAATCCTCGCTTCCCGGAAATTAATAGGAGTTTTGCTGGGGATCAGTGAGCACCAGGAATTGGTGCCTCATGTCTTTTGTATGCACAGGATATAAAATCATCCTGTGCATGCGGCCCAAAAGAAGGGGTATGTGCACTCCTGTGAAATCCCATTTGCTGTGCGGGCTGCTCTGGGCTGCCTGGAAGGCCAGTGGCGGACGGGCTGTGCCGGAGCTGCCGTTCAGCCTTCCCTGGCAGCTACAGACACAGCCAGTTTTGTGATGGTGCTAAGTGACAAACCAGCTCCTGGAGGAAACTGCAATATGGCTGTTAAGCTTATTTCAATAAATTAAGCGTTGAAGTTTGGATTGCAAAGACTGAAAAATTTTCATTGTAGGAAACTGGATTTGAAAGGACATGGACCATATGTATGCATTTCTTGATTTTGGGAATGAAACTTCTGGTACATCTTTGTACTCTCTGTACTGCTAGTACTCTCTGATTAAAGCTACTACTGATTGCTCATATGAGACTTGTACGAAAAAGTCCAAATGGATAGTTTTAAAATAAAATCAAGCTGTATTGAGACACAGCTATATTACTGTATTATTTACAGTAATTACAGTATTATTTATTACAGTATTATTAGTACTGTGGGAGCACTTTGATGTTGCATTGAGGAACTAAACCACAAAACTGGTTGTTGTCTAAACAGATCATAAAATCAATCTGAAGATCTAATACAAGAACTAATAAAGGGTTCATAAAAAAGTTAAATTTGCCATTTTACTGCAGGTTAATCTCCTTTGGAAGTTTCCTACAACAATAAATGACAAGATTTAAGACCTAATCCTACAACTACTTATGTCCATGTCTAATTTGATTACCAGCAATCGCATTTGGTAGTTCTGGCAGGAAAGTTAAGGACTCAGCGCAGGGTTTGCTGGATTAGTAACAAATTGGCCAACATGACAGGTCGGAGCCATCTGAGTGGTGATGTGTTAAATAGCCCGTAGTATGAAATACACTCTAGATCGCAGTGCCAAGAAAACACACTTCATATCTTTTTTTTTTTTTGTACAGAAATTCTGTTCCAAATTTTTGCTGGAACACAAGGCTTCTGCTTTATAGCAACTCCATCTCAAATAGCTTTCCCATCTCCCTCAACTTCATGATTATTTTTTTTCTCCTTTAGTCTATTAAGAAAAAAGGACTTGCTCCTTTTCTTTCTCTCTCTCCCATCTTTATGACTTTATTACTGAACTTGCATTGTACTCAACTCTGTGATTATTTGAGCATAAAGAATATATAGAGCATAAACATAAATATGTAGAACAGTAACATAAAGGATGTATAGAACATAAGTAGTCATAAAGCTAGAGCATCTTATCATAAAGCCAGAAATTTGCATTAGTAGTTATGCTTTATGCTGACTAAAATAGTTCTTTTTCTCCCCAAAAAAACAGAAATGAAGCAAGAAGACAACTGTCTTTTACATTAAAGCATACTTTTATTTATAATCAGAAACGCTGCTTGACAAATACGCACCCTAATTTTCAATAATGTTGTCTAGGTGTGGTGATGTGTCTTGCTCAAGAGCCAGTTACACAAGGTGGACTGGGTATTCATTTAATTCCACACTGGCTAGGAAAAACAGACTTTACATTCATGAACCAGTGTTTTCTTTTGCTTACTTTTGTCCAAACAAGTTTAGAATTTCATAGATTAACCTTTTCTTCATAGCAAAGGAAAGAATTTTATCTTTCTTTATATTATTGCCTTGACTTGCTTAAAAGTGAAACACTAATGATTTCATTGCCATGTGAAAGTACCACTTCCTTTCTACCATATATCAGACAAGGGAATTCATCCTTGTATCTGGAAAATACATATTACTTTCTGGAAACCACGGCACTAAATTTTAATATCCTTGATTTTGCATGCGAACATACAAAACACAACACATGAGGAATGGAAAAGGCAAAAAAAAAATACTGTTTTAATGAAGTCTGTCTTAGAGCCTTCTCCAAAATGCTTTACTGCTTTTCCTTGGCATTTTTTTTGTACATTTTTTCCTGCTTTGCTCCTGCATTAATGTGATAACTTCCGAGTCATTTTTGGAAATGTGTCAGCAGAGCAGAGGTCTCAGACCTCACTCCATATAAGGATTCTCCTGGTGTTGAAACAATATAATAAAATAATTTTCTTCCATTAATTTTACTAAGTTTACCGAGATGTATGTCACTGAGATGTCTTCTCAAAGATGGCTGAGAAATAAAGATACTGAAAGAACTTACAGCAGCATTTCCCATTTCCCACAAAATCATATCGTAGTAAAAGGAGAAAAATGCTTTATTATTTAAATTTCTTTTGATATTCCTTTCATGTAGCACTGCAGCTGAGATTTCTCAATCAGCTAATCAGGCTGGACCTTCAGTTAAAGCCTCTATATTGCCATAATCTAAAATCATGTTGGATTTTAAAACCATTCAGATTCAGCAATCCCACTATAACTCAGGGAACTAAGACCAAATATCCAAGAACTTGCTATTTTGATTTAAAAAGAGCTGCATGTACATAAAAAATAATCTACCACAAGTAGGAGGATGTTCTCTAATAGGAATTAGCTGTTCTCAAGTAAGAGCAATGTTTTTACACTCCGAGAAGTTCAGTTATTGGTGATGTGGCACACAATACTAGTATGCTAGGAAGGGCTAGAGATTCAGAAGCAGAATTTTGGGAAAAACTGAACAACATTTTTACAACACTTGATAAGGCATTTGATCCTCTTATCAGAGATCCAGTTCTGGGCCTGCTGACACAAATGGTACTATTTTAATTGACTTTATTGGACTCTGAATCACGACATACCTGATTTAAAGTACTGTGATGTCAAATTCATGTATTTAAAGTTATATGTCATTACTGTAGTACTAACGGGTTCTTATTAAACATGTGGTGAGTCGCTGTTTTCTGCAGCACAAAGGAAAACCTGAATCCACTAACTGCAACTGGGAATTTTACCACTGACAGTGAAGGGAGTAAATTCCATGTTACGCAATCACTGCAAAATTTTAATGAAATGTTCCTCATTCAATTACCTTTGGTAATGAAAGTTTCAATATTCTCCTGATTAAATTAATTTACACATTACAGTGGAAAGCAAACATATATGTAGAGCAGTAACTGCTCTGTGAATACAGAGATGCTCTGACTTAAATGCTGAGGCCATTAAATTGGAAAAGTTGCAGGGCTGACATGAGCCGGCTTCTGGAAGTGCAAGCCAGTAATTCAGATGTAGCATTATTCTTTCTTAAAGACTTTGAATATTTAAAATAAGAATGGAGTGATTAGGCTTCAAAAGTGAAAGGTGTCAGTCTGTTGCTCTATTGCTCTTATCACCAGTGAAATATTGTATGGTAGAGCTGTGTAGAATTTCTTCATCTACTTAGAATTTACCGTCAACTCTTCCGAAAGATAGTAAGTACATCAATCCAGTACAATTAACATACGGAATACATTTTTGTAATTTTTTATTTTACCAATGACGTGACAGCTGCAATATTTAAAAATACTATCTGTTCTAAGCAGAGCTAATTTCAAGAAATAATATTTATCATAACAGAAGATTCAATAATAGCATTCATCATAATAGAAGATTCAGTGCAATAAAACCTACCTGAAATTCCAGCCCATAGTTTTCCCTGCAGAATTCCCTCAGCTTAGGATACACATGTTCTCTTAGGGCGCTCCTTTCTGCTATTGTATCTGCATTGGGGAGAAAAAAAAAAAGATGTCACTAACCATATTTACCCAAATTCTGTTCTTTTAAACGGACATTTATCACATTAAAAAGCACACACATCTAGTTCTGGCATTTACATTTCCAAACTGTATGTTGCACTTTGTCATATTTGACATAAATATATGCAGCATTAAGCTTAATACAGCCCTTAGTATTGCAGTATAATCCAACAAAACTCAGCCAAGTTAATTTTGTAATTCTGAAGTCAGAATTTCTTCATCAGCTTGACTTTCATTTTCAGGAAGCTGAAATTTAACCATTAGAAACACTATAAAACAGAGAGAAATACCAAAGGTGGGGCTGATCCCTACATTTAGTGTAATAAAAGAGAGACTTCACCATCTTTAATCTCATAGTATCTCAGAAGGAAAGCACCTGGTATTAGCATCATTATTTATTTGGCCGGGTGATTATCACTATCATACTCAGCACACAGACACCGTCATGCTATTTGCCCTATGCAAAAAGATATGTGTGCTGATAGCAAAGTACAATATGGCTTCAAGATGGCCAAATTCTTACTGGAAATTCTGCATATCCAAGTTAATCTGAGCACATTTGTATAAAACCCATCATCAAAGAAGCTTACTAACAAATCCGTGGTAAATTTGATGGTTTAGTGACAAGATTTTATAGAGATTATACATTTTATTGTCTCTTCAAATAAGATGAAGATGTGATGAATTTTGCTAGGCCTGTGGTCCATACTAACAGAGTTAAGATGTGAAGGGATGACACTGTTACTAAGTTATTTTTGAATATAAAATATAACTGCTGCAAATAAGTACACCCAAACACCACATCATGAAAATTAAACTGTGTTAATTTTTGACTGATGGAGAACATCAACTGCAATTAAAGCAGTATTTGTCGAATGGTGCTGAAATGAAAGAGTAAATTTGAACTGATTTAACAATCCTCTTTATAAGCCAAAGATGTCTGTGCAAGTCTAACCATGTTTCGTTAACCAAGGCCACAGCTGATACGTTTAAGTGAGCCAGTGGTTTGCTTATAGAATCATGGTCACAGATGTGTATATATATATATACATATATGTTTATTTTGACAATTCTAGAAGAGTGTGAAATCTGTAATTCATTAGAATAAATTCTTAATATCCTTAATATTCTTAATATCCTACTTTAAAATAGCTCTGAAAAATTACATAAATGTAATTAGATAAATTAAAAACAAACAAGCCAAGAAATCTGCATGTGAAATCTGCACCAAGGCCACCACAAAGGCTTGACGGTAGACCTGCTGGCTTAATCCCATTTATCTGAGTTATCCCTATTCTTCCTTCACAAACTTGGTGTGGAAAGAAAATCAAAAGGATAGTAATTTTCATTAAATATCACCTCTAATATTAACAAATTTAGGTATTTATGATTTCATATTTTCAAGCACAGGTGTTCTAAAGATAATAGCCCAGAAGGTTTGGTCAGCTCCTTGCTCCGTTGCAAAGTCCCTGCCTGAGTGTGGACCTGCCACCCCAGACCCGATTCTCCAGCTGAAGTATACAGCCTTATACATCCCAAACGTATACTTGTCAGTGTGCTCCCTTTGCAATTACGGAAAACCGTGCCCTGGGCTGCACTGGGAGGAGTGCGGCCTCACTCCCTCTCTCCTCTCCTTGTCACTAGTCCTGGGCACCCCAAATCCGGAGGCTGTGGAGGAAACCAGAGCAGTCACCGAGGTGGCCAAGGCCAAGCGCTTGTGGCAGGAGCCAGCTGCCCAGCGGGGCTGTGATCCTCTGTCCTTGGAGCTTTTCAAGACCTGACATGTCCATGGCTGACAAGTTACTGCTGACAACACTTCAAGATGGTGGTGAGCTCGAATGACCCAGCAGGACCTGCAGGTTTGACGTGTACAGTCCTGGGGAGACTTCTGCTGCTCTGCTGCCTGGGCCAGTAAGAGCAAAGCTGCAGGAAATAACGGCCAGTGCCAAGGACCCAATGCCCAAGCCATGTGTGTTTTACACTTCAAATTTGGGCGAAGACAGAAGCACCTTTTAAACACTTCAGAATGGGAAGCAAAACCCAATGCTGGCCGCCCAGAGCTGCCCTGCGTTGCATGTAGGTACCAGAGGGATGGAAGAGGCGCTGCCTTCTCTGATACTGGTTAATTTTGGCATGCGAGTCTACCAAAACACAGAGCATCCTATCTTCTCAACTGTGGAGGATGAACTCTTAAAAACACCTTATTACTCAGTTACTGAACTAAAACAAAGTGATTCTTGCCTCTTTGTAAAGTGAAATTAAGCACGACTATAGCTTTGCTGTTCTGCAAGCAGCAGCTGACAGGTGCTCTGTGCAGATACTCACATCATCAATGTGATAGCAGACAAAATAGTCTTACGAGTAAGCTAAAACAAGCTATCATGCAGGAACAACAGAAATGAGCTACTGGAGAAGGGCAGAAGTTGAGATTAAATATGATTAAACGGAAAATGGTAATAGTTGGTCTGAGATGCATAATGCATAAAACCACATTCTGGTGCTTTGCATTTATCCCTATAAGACTCACCCTGTAGAACCCCAATGGATCTAATTTTAGAACAAGTCATCATCCCCTGTGGCATAACTTGTAAAGTCTTGTTCAGAAAATGAAAAGAAAAAGAAACGCTCCAAGAGGTGGTACATTTTAAATTCCTTATGAATCAAATAGAAATAAAACATTCTTCCAGCTAGCATTCTCTTGTGGATAAGGCACCAAACATACCCATCCCATGTTTTTATTCCCACCTACAAATCTAGTGGAATGTGATTAATTGGAATTTGAGGCTGCTGCTTCCATTAATGAAGCTTAAGATTTTCTGTATTCATAATAATTTGTGAAACTCTAAGGAAACAGAAGTGTACGTAGTTCAGATGAACAACTGTAATTAGTATGGATGGCAGATAAGCTAGTTGAATTAAATAAAATCTAATCCGATTTCTACTGATAGCAAATCTGTGAAGCTGGCAGCTCCCAACAACAAGATGTCACGCAGGCACATGCCACCTTGCAGGCTGCTGCTGCACATGAACAGATTAACTCAATGACATTCTTCTAGCAGCCAAAATGAGGCTGTTTTATACCTGTCCTAGTGTTAATTCTGGTACCCTGAAACCCTAGTGATAGTCCCAGTGATAAACTATGGGAATGAAACTGTATCTGAAAAAAACAGAAGACTTAAAAAAAAAAAAGCACATCAATATTTAAGTCAAACTGAAAAAGATGGTATTGAATAAGATGGTGGCTTGCTGAACGCAGAGCTTTCTACAAGGGATGTCTCTTCTCACCTGCGGCGCTGCAAGCCAGTCCCTGATGGTACCACCACCAGAAGCAGGTCCTGCCCCCAGCCCACTACCTCATCTAGTGCTGCCTCCACCTTGTGTGCGTGCTAGCAGTTACTGAGAGGATATGAAAACCCTTCTGTATTTATTTCTTGAACAGTTTCAGCCAGGAGACAGCTGAGACCTGACTTGCTGCATATTCCGGGGTCCTGGTGTCAACACCAGGAAGGCAGCGCGAATGCCCATGATATGGGCATCGTGGAGAGACAGAGGGCACAAAACCATCCGCTTTGGTGGATTGGGATTTTAGCTCAGCTTCAGCTGAACACCGCACTGGGCAGCATTGAAACCTGCCTGGCTTCAATCACAGCTTGATCCAAAGTCCACTACAGGCAATGAAAAACTACAGTGGACAACAGTGGGCTGTGGATCAGGCTAGGAGACGCCAGACGCTTCTCTATGAAAATTCATATTGAATTGATCTGAAACGTCATCCCAGCTCTCCCTCCTGACGTGCAGCACCAGGATGATGCTGGAGACAGAGCCGGATTAGCTACACACGCACACGGGGTCTATCTTCCTGCCCAAGAGCAGGCAATAAGAGTAGTTTCAACATTACTGTTGCTGTGAGATGTGGCTTCTGGAGGCTCGTAGCTCAGTGAAATCACTGCCAGTTCTCACACGGTCCCTCCAGGGGTACTGCTTCTCACTGTGAACTGTTTCCATGCCAAAGGCTGACCTTCAAACACAAGGTGCTTTGTTATTAAAGTTCCTTCTTTTATTTTTAATAGAGAAAGTGATTTTACATTCTGGTGTTAGTAAACAGATGATGTGTATTTGCTCACAGTTGCCAAAATATTAAGCTCTAGGATAAAAAAAAAGTCATGGAAAACAGCCCAGATGAAGAAATTTTCAGAAGATATATGCAAGTGAACAGCAAGAGTTAATGCGGAGACCCCATGGGCAGTACCTGATTTCAAGCACCAGATTTTCTGCCCTATGGGTGCAGCAGACAGTTTCTGCTCTCTGCAGCAGTGACTGAGAGGGGAGGCTGACGAGGAGGCCGCTCGACCCCAGGCAGTGCTGCGTGGGCACAGGGAGCCCCCGTGAACACGGCCCTGCGCAGGGCACGCTCAGGGCCCGCTGTGGGGATGGTGCAGTGCAGGGATGGCGTCTGCAATGCCACAAAATTCTCTCTTCCAGGAGAACTTTGCATTCCCCAGCTCAGAGAGGCAGCAGGAAAACCAAGGCCCGACACAACAGGAGGAGGCAGCTCAACCTGGGACAACCAAGGCAGAGCAAGAGGAAAGACAAAACAACCCCACACTCCCCTTGGGGCTGCTCAAGCCGCCACAGAAACTGAGCTTGCACCGGGTTGCAGGGTTGCCTGCGGGCCTGAACTCCAACCAACCCCACAGGAAAGAGCTGCCCTTCTCAGCACGGAAGGAGCTGGGTGGGAGATTGCAACGCGGAGCCCTCTGTGCATCTACTGAGGTTTGTGGCCCAGGGTGCGCAGAGAACATCTAATCCGGTCCTAGGTGCGCAGAGAACATCTAATCCGGTCCTAGGTGCACCTGCCCTAACATGTGCACCTATTTGCTGCTTCCTCCTGGTACTCTGCTTAGCTCTGCTGGATGGGCAGGACAGATCTTGTCACAGGAAATTTTCAAAGCAGTACAATATTA